CAGTGTCGTATAAAATTATTTCTTTATCTATTATAAAATTCAGTTTTGAGAATTTGGTTTTTCTTTTCCGCTCATTTTTTTTTTTAAACTACTAAGGGAAAGTTTAACGTCATGGTGACTAATCTTACTTGCTTTTTTATCATAGTTGGTTGGCTAGCAATACATTTAGAAATGTTGATTGATGGTGGACTTATTCAAATGGCCTTCAAAGCTTTAAATTGCTTACAACGACTGCGAACAATTACTAGATTAAGCATTTAATCATGTTTTTTCTATGATTTTGTTGTGTTAATGCTTAATGCATTATCTCCCGTTCTTGCTTGAAATGTATCTTTTCTTCTATTTTTTTTCCTTTTCTCTACTTCGTTCATCTTAATAACGCAACTTCACAAATATCTGATTCTTGCAGAGGTCTTAAAACAGCATAAACTCTGGCTTCTCGTTATCAGTTTTTTTAATTTCCGGTAAGTGAGCGTTTTGTGCTTCTTCGCACTGAAGTTATTACCTAGTTGGAGAACTTCAAATGAATGGTTTATTTTTATTAGATTATCCTAAATGTGCTTGTTTGTCTGCATTTGTTTAGTGTATAATTCTGTAGAGCTATTTCCAGTGTGAAAGTGGTTTTACATTTCTTTTCCTTCAATTAGCACGTTTTATTTGGATTCTTTTGCGAGTGTGTTGAATATAGATTTCCAGTTATGGTGGGAGAAAGTATATCTTTTTCTAGGTTTTGGTGACGCAGTTTGTGAGTAATGTCAGAGATACAAAGTAGAGATGAAGAAGGTGATACTTTGGTTAGCTTAGGTAATGGGCAATCTCAGTACGTAAAACTGAATGTTGGTGGAGCGCTTTTCCAAACCACTTTGACTACTTTGCTGAAGCATGATACGATGCTGCGTGCTATGTTTTCCGGGAGGATGGAAGTTTGTATAATTAACTCTTAATTATTCCTACGCTTATTCTTTCAAAATTTTTGCTTCTTCGTTTTTCTTTCTTATTATTTGTTGTACCAAAATTATAAGATGTCAAGTAATTTTGGTTGCCGAATTGTAGAGGCGTTGAAAATGACCCATTTCGATTTTTTCACAGAAGTAATCAGTAAAAGGTCCCATATCTTTGAGGTTTTGAAAGACATCGATGGTTGGGTAATGATTGACCGTTCTGGAAAACACTTTGGAACCATCCTCAATTTCCTCAGAGATGGAAATGTACCATTACCAGAATGTCGGGTTGAAACCCTGGAAATCCTTGCCGAGGCAAAGTATTATCTTATTCAGGTTTGGAGAATTTTTTGGTTGAAATATATTTTTAGAAGTTCCTTGAATGTTTAGAATTATTTTGAAATAAATTTACTTTTGTAAAAAACGATTGAAGAGAAGGGCTTCAGCAACTTGTTCCCTCCCTCACTCGTTAAACTACAGGCAGGATTTTTTCAAATTTTGAACTTTTTCTCAAATTTCTGTAGAACAATTCTGGTTTTGAAGGAGTTGGTAGTAAACAGTTTTATTATTGTTTTATTTTTTCTGCGTGGAGCGTGAATTAATTTATTTTCAAGTCTAGGGTGCTACTCTCTCTCTGAACAGGAAGAATTATGTCTGATTCCGTTAGCTGTTTCTGTCCTTTCTCATTTTTCCTGATGTCTGATAGAAGAGAGGTTAAAGTGATTTTGTAGTATTAACTTTTTATAACTTTTTCAGAATCTTTATCTTTATAAACTCCAAAGTTAAAAAAGGCTTATTCACAAAATATGACGCCATTATTCTGTTTAAAGTCGAACTTAATATATTTGTACTTGGTTCCTTTGTTCTCTTATTTTGTTCTTCGTCTTTTACTAGTTTATTATCTGTTGAGCTATTGAACTCGTCAACTTTTTTAAATGGTATTGATGTTACTGTTATTCCTTCAGGGTGAAACACCTAAAGAAGACATGCAACAGTAATTTCATTCGCATTCTCTTGGGTTCAGCAAATTGCTGAAAGTATCTTAGCAAACTGTATTTTTCTTTCAAATTCTTAACTTAATTCATTCTGTCTCTCATTAATTTGTCATTAATGTTTCGAAAATGACTTTTTTGACTATCTTTTATGTGACTATGCAGGATACTTTTTTAGTTTCATTTTCCTGCTTGCTGTATTTACCTCCAGAATCTGCTTTTTTTGCCTCGCGGAAGTGTGTTTATACTTTGTCGTGATAGTTTTTTTTTGAACGGTTAACATCTGTCTTATTCTTGGTGACTTAAATTCATTTTAAATAATTTATTTTTGGAATCTGTGAAGCAAGGAAAGAAGTTAACAGTTTTAGAACTGACATCTAGTTGCATAGTTTTTTTACACTGCGTCATGACTTTAATTTTCAGGATCTTGTTATACTTTGCCAAAATTGGTTAAATGTGTTGCGTAAAGATGAGGATGGACCTATAGGAACTTGCAAGGTCCCAGTACTGAGTACTAAAAAGGACTGTGATGCGGTTATTGCGGGTTCTTCAAAGGTAACTTCTAAATATATTTTTCTGGGAAGATTGGATCGGCTAAACAAAAGTACTTTTTTACCAAATGGATTTGTTTGAATATGAATGGCTTTTAATGTCACTCAAAATACTTCCTCATTATTGATATTCTGAGGCATGTAAAAATTTATTTTGAAGCCTGTTATCAAATTGCTGATGAATCGTCATAATAACAAATTTTCCTACACCTCTCAGTCTGACGACAACATGTTAAAAAATTTGGAGTTATTCGACCGATTGGTTGTGCGCTTTGCAAACAGAGTTTTGTTTATAAAGGGTATAATATTATGTCTTAGTTTAAATAATTCAAAGCTTTTTTTTTTTGAAAACTTTTAGTTAGGGTCTCGAATGTAATAAAAACTTTTAGACGTCGGAGTTGAAAATGCCGAAATATGCCAGTGGAGTTTTTTCGGGCAAGGGAGGAAACAAGCAGAGGTTAGCTAGTATCTATATCACGATCTTCCGGATTATTTTTCTACTCTTAAAAGTTTAGTTTATGGTAAGGAGAATTTTCGCATCTGTTTCTAAAGGGATTGGCTATGTCAGTCTTTAAGTTACTTGTGATCTAATCGCACTGTTTGTCTCATGTAAGTTCAAAAGAAAAACCATCTACATTTTCAGTGTTTATTCAGGTCTGTTGCACTTCCATCGTTTATGCCACAGATAAGAAGCATACTAAAGTGGAGTTTCCTGAGGCACGAATTTTAGAAGAGGCAATGAATGTTCTACTCTTCGAAGAAAGGAATGTGTGCTCTAGATGTGGTAGGGAGAAAGGTCGTTGTTCTCCCGTCGGGATCTCTGCCCAGCTTCAGCTTCCACCCATTACGTATTCTAGTCACAGCGCGTCTGTTTCGGTAAATTATTTTTTTTTATCTGTAGAATTCATACAAGGAATTTTTTTGAGTTTTGGTGCTGGGAAATTGTTTTTTTCTATGGCTAACAATATCTGACCTTGTTTCCGATTTGATGAGATGTTTTTGTTTTGCTTTAATAGCATAGTCTCACTATTCATTTCCGATAGGCCTGCGGAGGACCTTTTTTCGGGTGATTTCAAAATTGATTTTTTTAAAATTTCGCGGTTTCTAAATGTTTAATGACATTTTTCTTCATTTGTCACTTACACTGCTGTCGTAAACGCTATCTACATTTTTTTTAGTAGTAGGGCGCATTCTGCAAGGTAAGCTTCTTTTGCCTTTTGGCTTATTTATTTGTTTATTTACTTTTTATTTTTTTAATAGCAAGTTTTGTAGCCCCAACTAACGCCATCTCCTTTGAACAGCGAAGCAGGGTTACAGCCCGGCACCGTGTTTGATGATCGGAGACGAGTAGGTGAGAAAAAATACTAAATTTCTTGTCCATCACTACTGTTTAAACTAAAAATTGATGCAAAGTTCTTACTCGCAGAAAACTAGGATGTTTTTGGGTATGAATTGTTGTTTACAAAAAAAAATTAGTTTTAGATTGACTGACCAATGTTTTGTTTCTGCTTCTCTTTGACCCACAAGAAATATACCCTACAGATGGAGGAAAATTTATAAACCTCAGAAAGGAAAATTGATTGTACAGCTACCAGATGTAACGGATCTTATATAAGAAACTGGTATTGTCATCCAACTTAAAAGCAAGCTCATAAATGCCACTTTTTTGCATTGAAATTTTTTAATTTGCCTTCTGAGCTGGTCTAGAGGCCTGAATCAATTCGGTTTTTTTTTTTTTTT